TGGATTTCCGAGGCAGTATCACTACAGAAGTAGATTGCCCAACTGTCCTTCCCAGGAGTGGCTGGTGGGTTTGAACCGCCAGCCTTCTTGTTAGCAGTCAAGTGTCTTAGGCACTACGCTACCAGAGCTCTGAAAGGAGAAATAGCAGAACCCAAACGAGGAAAGGATCTAACTGTGGCTGTCTGTTCCTTTCCCATAGCTAAGTGGACTGCTCCAGGTGTGTGCGCGAACGGGAACGGAGACCCAAGCCAAATTCACCTCCGTGGAGCTGCTCAGGGAGTATATTTTGGTAAGAAATTAGGCTGTGAAAGAGTCGGGACAAATGGCCACTGGCAGAACTTATGCAAATATTTGAGGTTTTCCAGTGTGAAAGGGATCTTTTCAAAAAAGGAAATGTGACCATGTCACTTTTCTTAAAAATCCTTCACAGAGCAATCTAAAGTCCTTGATATTGAACATGAGGTTCACTATCAAAAAACATTTTCCTCAATGGTATTTTCTATACACAGAAAAGACAATTCAGTGGCTTACTTCGGTTTCTAAAACTTAATATTTGGCTTATTGAAATTGTAAATTTTAAGGAAATCTAACTCTTCTTTAAAGGTTTTTATGCTCAGCTTACAAGTCTCACTATTATTTGAAAAGTAGGCTAGCCAATTTTAGCAATCACTTTTAAGGGCCTTTGAATAATGTTTGGCTCCATTTACAAACTTAATTAAACACTTTTAAGCATTGTAAACTACATTTTAAAATTTAATACATTCAATTTCCCTTTTAATTACTTGGATTATCTGATTTAACAAACAAATCTTCCTTAGGTTGTATAAGTCTGATAAATATGGTGAGCTTTATGTTCTCATAAATGCTCCGAAGCTGTATGTAAACAGTAGGCTTTTAACTTAAAATCATGTTTAAATCAATTATTCAATTATACACTTAAAATTAGAATCACAATCCTGTATTCTATTAATATTGTAAACACTTAAAACACCAAATATGCAAACTCTTTAAACTACTGTGGCAGTTTTGCTTCTCTTAAATATTTTTATTAATTGTAAACCTTCTAGGGGTTAAAAAAACTCTCTAGGGATACAATTATTTTCTCAGCTAATTAAAGTGGCTTATTGACCAGAGATTTGAGCTGGTCAGCCACCATAATGGGCCCCATTTCTTGTCACTAACAAGGACTTCTTCATAACATAAGAGGAGGGCATGGTCTTGTAACCCAGCCAAGCTGCTACATTTCTTGTTTAGACTTTGCCTTTCAGGAAATTTAAATGCCTTGGCCATGTAACTCTGAAGACCTCTGGACTTGACATCCTGCATCTTTATTGTCTTCCTGCTTCTAGCACCATGATGACTCTTTGTTGGTGTTATTGTTACCTACCATCCCATCAGCCTCTGACTAATGGTGACCCCATGCACAATGACTGTTATGATCCATAAGGTTTTCAATGATCGCCAAGCTTCCTAGTCTGTCTTAGATTGGAAACTCCATTGAAACTGTTTGGTATCGCAACATGCAAACTTCCACTGACAAACAGGTGGTGGTGAATCATCAGGTGTATTGGCTGGGAATTGAAACTCAGTCTGCCAGAGAGAAGACAATTATTCTACTAGTGAACCACCAATGGCCCATGATGACCCTTAAAGATGTTGAAATTGTGTATCACTGAATTCTGCAAATCTGAAGACTCTGTTTGGAGTCGTCACCCAGCTTCAGGGTCACACTGCTGACACTTGCCCAGGTCTATAAGGCCCCATGTGACCTGTGCTTTGCCTATTATTCTAAGTCATCCATCCCTCTATTCACAAAGCTCCAGCCACACTATTTTCTTTTTCTTCTTCCAGTCATCCAAGATCATTTTGACCTTGGGACTTTTGTACTAGCTGTCCTCTCTACCTAGAAGGCTCTGGCCTCAAATCTTGTAGCTGGCATCCTCCTTTCATTCTAGGTCTCAGCTTGAAAGTCGTCTTCTCATAGAGACCTTCCTTGACCCTCAAGTTACTTTTACCACCATAGCTCCCTATACTCGATTCCAATACCCTGCTTTATTGTCTTCATTTCTGAAAATGTTATTGTTATTTATTATCTGACTTCCCACTGGTATGTGGATTCTTTGAGTGCAAGGTCCTTATTGGTCTAGTTCATTGCCAGTGAGCTCTGGGGCCTAGAATTGTGTGAATGGATGAATGAATGAATGAAACGAGTGGAAAAGTGAATGGCTATTTATCTTTCGTTCATTATTCTGTTTTCAGTCCTGTGTTCCTGAGTGCACTCACCCCCTCAAAGTGGAGACCTGTCCTAAGGACTGGCCGAGCCATGGGGAGATAACATTCAAAGACTATTGCATGAGATACAGAGACAACACTCCCCTTGTTCTCAATGGGCTGAATTTGAACATCCAAAGTGGGCAGACGGTTGGGATCGTCGGAAGAACTGGTTCTGGTAAGGATAAGCTGTACTTTTTTTTTCTTTTTTCCTCTTGGGTTGTTTTCTTTGAATTTCCACTGGATGTGGTAGTTAAGTCCCACCAGAGAGTGTAGCATATATGTAGTGGATTGGCTGTTGTTGTTTTCTCCCTCTCAAATCTCTTTACTGTAAATTAGGATTTCAGGTTGAATGGGTGTGTAGCACTGGAAGCAAACACACATCAGTTTTTGAATTAACTAAATGAGAATCATTCCTGCTGAACGAGGCCCAGAGGATGAGTAGTATCGCAATGGCCCCTGCAGTCGTGGGCAGGTTAAGTGCATTAGGGCTGCCGATTGCTGCCAATATAAGGAGGAGTGCCTGTCTGCACAGCCCTCTGCACAGAGCCATTTTCATTGCATTAAAAATTCCCTTAATTAAATGCCTGGATATGATGGAAGTACAAGCTGATGCTTGATTTGTTGTTCTTCCTTTTATCGTTCCCAGGAAAGTCATCGTTAGGAATGGCCCTGTTTCGTCTGGTGGAGCCAGCCAGTGGGATGATCTTCATTGATGAGGTGGATATTTGCACCATCGGTTTGGAAGACCTTAGAACCAAGTTGACTGTGATCCCCCAGGATCCTGTCCTGTTTGTAGGTACAGTAAGGTAGCTGTTTTTGATCATTGCGCATTCCTATTTTCAGATAGTGAAATGAGATGGACCAGGAGCTTTGTGAATTCCCTGAGACATGGCTATCCAGGGCTGTTTATCTGAGAGAAACAGCATCTTGAGGTGCTCATAAGCACTGCTGATGCTGTTTCTGAGAGAAGCCCTGGGAGGAGCTGGGAACCAGGGCCCTGAACATTATTTATATTTCATAAATTACATTATTAATAAACAATGAGCAAGATGCTTATACATGGGGTGAACAGATGTCCTCATTTTCCCATGAAAGCCCAGGTTTATACCTTTGCCCCAGCATCCCATCTGGTTTTGCAATGGCCACTCTCAAAAGTGTCCCAGTTTGCACAATAAATAAATGATTACACTACTTAGGTAGTCATCTGCTGGGAAGTACATTAATTCATTCCCACTTAGGAATGAACGTTTAATATGTTCAGCTGCTAACCAAAAGATCGGAAGTTCTGGTCCACCCAGAGGTGCAGCAGAAGAAAGTTCTGGTGCTCTACTTCCTAAAGATCAGCCACTGAAAACCTTATGGAGCACAGTTCTTCTCCAACCACATGGGGCCACCATGCATTGAAGTTGGAGTCTGCCTAATGGCAACTGGTTAAGGAATGAACAGAAGCTGTGAAGAACTACAAGAACAGTAGGGTTGTAACTTCTGGGAGCTCAAGATCTGAGGTCAGGGCACAAGGAGAAGACCATAGAATCAAATTAAACCTGAAAATCCCATCAGAAGATGCCACCTGGAGTTCAGCCTAGAATTTTTTAGTTAGTCCAGTGCAGCGGACTAATTGAGGGACTAATGTGAGAGATCTTTCTCCCAGTGTTGTTGTTGTTCTGTGCCATTGAGTCAGACCCGACTCCTAGTGACCCCTCCTTGGGTTTCCGAGGCAGTATCATTATGGAAGTAGATTGCCCGACCTTCCTTCTGAGGAGTGGCTGGTGGGTTTGAACTGCCAGCCTTCTGGTTAGCAGTCAAGTGCCTTAGGTACTATGCTTCCAGAGATATATAGGGGGACTCTATATAGAAATTATATATGAAAAATACATTCCACATCTTGAAATTCTAGACTCTCGCCCTTCATACTCACCCTTTGCAAGGCCCTGGAAATTGTAGATGTGCCTCTTGGATCTCACAAGATCACTTTGAAGGCGGAGTGAGTAGAATGGCAGACTGAATTGCTCTCTCTTCCTTTCTCTCTGCCAAGGAGATGAATTTGTACCAGGTAAAATCCACACTGAGTGGTTCAGTGGTAGAGTTCTCACCTTCTATGAGGAGGAGCTGGTTCAATTTCTGGCCAATACACCTAATGTGAAACCACCATCCATTTCTCAGTGGAGGCTTGCATGTTGATATGATGCTGAATAGGTTTCAGAGGAACTTCCAGACTAAGATGGACTAGAAAGAAAGGTCTGGCTATCTACTTTCAAAAACCTGCCAGTGAAAACCTTATGGATCACAATGGTCTTATCCTGTTGTGCATGATAGCAGCTAACAACAAAAAAAAATCCACTCTGCTGCATGTAGCAATGGAAAGACCCAAATGTGTCTTCTTGGGTGCCTAGCTCAGTATTACCTCTTGGCAGCAGTATATATGTCCCTGACTGCCTCAGTGCTCTCTGCTTGGTCATGGGGTTGTGGGTCCTTAGTCTTATGGCTGAAGTTGGTCTATCACGGGCTACTGTCCTGGGCTGACACAACTTTGAAGCTGTAGAGCCATTACATACCACCACCACCACTTTTCCCCATGTGCTGCAGAAAATGTGCTCCCCCAGCCTCTCATCCTCAGAAATCCAGCACCCTCTCCTTTCTCTTATTGCAGGTACAACTTGGATCCCTTTGGTAGTCACACCGATGAGATGCTCTGGCAGGTTCTGGAGAGAACATTCATGAGAGACACAGTACGTTTCTGGGGCTGTCCAGGATGAATCAGCTTCCCATAACCAGTGCTAGCTATCTTGCCCAGGTTTTAACTCCACAAGCACCTGGCCCAGCATTAGACCAAGTTTACTGTGGGCACCACATAGGTCAGTTAATACGATTGTCATTTACTCCTTATTATGAAATGCAACAACAGATAACATTGATTAGGCCTCTGAGATGATCCAGCTGAGACCTCTACATTAATCATCTCACTTGAGCCTTATTACAACCCTCTGAGGTTGGTACTGTCACCCCATTTTTAGAGATACAGAAATGGAGTCTCAGGGCAGGGAAGTAACATGTCCAGGCTAGTGAGTGGCAGATTGGAGCCTTGAATCCAAGTCCATTTCACTCTGGAGCAGATGGAGTGGCCGCCTGCTTTGCCAATGACCTTATGACACCAGAGAAGGGTAAGAGGTATGGTGTGTACCAGACATGGTAACAAGTATGGCTGCTTTGAGTGGACTGAACCGTCTGGGAAATGAGACCTTGACCTGTAAGAACATCAGAGTCAGCTGGGGTCACCAGATGTGCATGACCACTTCTGCAGCCCAGAGAGAATGTTTCCCAGGACTTGACACTAAGATGAGCATCTCCCAAGGCCACCTTGAGTTGTTGGGGTAACAAGTCTCACTCTTCCTTGGTCACCCATGGCTATTTTGTCCATGGAAGTAGGGACCCTGAAAGGCGTTTGGACTTGTGTGTCCTCTAGGGCCACATGTGCTTGATTTGTACTCTTTGGCGATGTGTCTACGGGGTTCTATGAATCATACTGTGATTTTAAATTATTATTGTCTGCCTACTCCCTGGTCTTTCCCTAGTGCCTGTTTGCAATATTGAAATGATTGTTGTTTTGCATTTTTTTTTCCACAGTAAAATAAAGCAGGCTGATAAATGCAAGAGAAGGGGGCAATCAATATAGGCAATGCAGAACAATTTTATAGATCACCAGCATAAATGTGGCATTTTCTGTGTTTTATAGATAATGAAGCTCCCCGAAAAATTACAGGCAGAAGTCACAGAAAATGGAGAAAACTTCTCAGTGGGGGAACGTCAGCTGCTTTGTATGGCTCGAGCGCTTCTTCGTAATTCAAAAGTATGAAACCAGCACGGAAAATGGATTGGTCAAATTTTGGATATTTCCCGCTGTGCCACTCCATCCAGGAGGCAGAACCATGCGTTTGTCTTTCAGCAAAGAGAGACCAATTGGGCCATTTAAAAACCAATCACTTTTCCTTAAGACAAAGTTGTGAGGGGTAAAAATTGAAAAATAACAGCCATTTACAGCAATAGCACCTTCCTCCCTGGGGCCTCCCCCTGGGAAATCTTGCTTTGGTATTCTCTCTGTTCTTCCAAGTAGTTTGAGTCTGAAAAATCTGTCTCTCTACTTTTTACCTTTGTTCCTGAACAATCTTGGGGCCTCATAAACAGTACCAAGAACAGTGAAGAAAGTCATCAGGATGCTAGGATATGAAAATTATAAAATTTATACATATTTTTCCTAGTGACTTAGGCATCCTTGCTTACTGGTTTGGGGACAGGATTGATATTGCTTTAGAAGCTCCATTCTCTGAATCTTCATCAAACCTGTAACCTACTGGGTGTTCTCTAGTCCTGGTAATGACAGGGGAAGGGGAATCAGTATGCATTTAGAGCTTACTGTGGCTTCACACACTGTTAAGTGGGTTATGTGTTGCCTTTGACATGTTATGCTCATAACAGATGAGAAAACAAGTGCCTTGGGGATGGTAAGTAAGAGAGTCAAATAGACTTTAGGCCCAAACTTGAGTCTTCTGATTTTCAAACCATCATTGAGGTAGGCAGGATAATGGCTTTCCCCAAAATATTCACAATATGATCCTCAGAACACATAAATACGTCACCTTATATGGTGTTCTGGTTACCTAGTGCCACTCTGACAGAAATATACCACAAATGGAATGGCTTGAACAAATAGGAGTTTATTCTCTTACAGTTTGAAAGCTAGAAGTTCAAGTTCAAAGTGCCAGGCTCTAGGGGCTGTGTGGAAGCCCCTCGACCTTGGGTTTCAGCTCTGCCTCTTGCTCCTGGCTCACTGAAGCTAGAGGCATCTCTTCACTCAGGCAGCTACTGGCTGCTAAGGCTAACAAGCCCAAGGTCGACAAATAAAATGACACAGTCCCGGTGTTACCAAACCACATGGCAGGGCATTAATTCAAGTCCATTGTAAGTCCCAAGATCAGCAGAGCATGGCAGTGTGCTCAACATGGCTACATACAAGGTCCAAGAGTGCCATAAACTAGAGACTATCCCCAAGGCTTCTCCATATATATATATGTGTATATATATATATATATATATATATATATATATATATACAGGAAGCAGACCACATTCCCTAAGGCAGCTACTCCCACTAGATTCCACCATGGAGTTGATTACCAGTCTCATCATGGGGAATAACTACATCCAGCTGTCCAGCCACTCAACCAGGCCCAGCCAAGGTGACACACAAACTGAACTACCACATATGGTAAAAGGAACTTTGCAGATGTAACTAATTTAAGGGTCTTGAGATGAGGAGGTTACTCTTGATTACCCTGGTGGGCCCAGAGCATTTACAAAGGTCCTTACAAGAGGGAGGTAGGAGGGTCAAAGAGAGAGTAGGAGATGCAATAGTGGAAGCAGACATAAGAGTGACACTAGGGCCATGAGCCAAGGAATGCGGGCAGCTGCTAGAAACTGGAAAAGAAAAAAGGAAACAGATTCTTCCCTACAGCCTCTAGAAGGAACACCACTCTGTCAACTCCTTGATTTTTGCCCCAGGAGACTCATTTTGAACTTTTGACCTCCAGAATTAAAATACAGTAAAACCTGTGAAAGCTGGAGCCCATTTAAGGCAGAAACCTGTCAGAGAAAGAAAACTCAAATATTTTCCACTAATAGAGAGTGATAGAAAAGTGGCGAGACTGCAACCTATCAAAGGTGGAAAACTTGTGAGACCTGGAAATACAAGGCAATCCCATCTAGTTCTGGCTCTCACAGACTTCACTGTAAATTTGTGTTGTTTTCAGCCATTAAATTAGTGACAATTTGTTACAGTGGCAAGAGGAAACTAATAACAAGTGCCATTCTGATACCGTCTGCTCTTCTGATAACTCATGTTAGCATACTGGATAAAGCCTGTGGGCTGTTTCTTCCTACCAGTCGGTAAGGTTAGAATAAACCCCTTAAAAAGAAGGGTAAAGGATATATAACCTTATTCTTTCAGCAAGTCCCTCTGAGGGAAATGAAGGTGGTATAGTGTGGCTTTTATTTTGATATATTTTTTTGACTTCTTGTGATGTTTGCTTAGCTCATTACTTTTCAGTCTATCTTCTTTTTAAATAGCTACAGCTAAAGCTATACATTTTCCTCTAGGTACTGCTTTGGTTTTGTATAACTTTTACAACATTCTTTTCCCGACAGATCATACTCCTCGATGAAGCCACTGCCTCCATGGACTCCAAGACTGATACCCTTGTTCAGAACACCATCAAAGATGCCTTCAAAGGCTGCACAGTGCTAACCATTGCCCACCGCTTAAACACAGTTCTCAACTGTGACCTTGTCCTGGTCATGGAAAATGGGAAGGTGAAGGATGATCTGTTAGCTTAACCTCCTCAGAGGGTTCACATGCTTTGGGCTTTGTTATGGTGGGTGGATAGTTTCTGACAGCATCAGTTCTTCTCTTTCAGGTGGCTGAGTTTGACAAGCCTGAAGTCCTTGCTGAGAATCCAGATTCCGTGTTTGCAATGTTACTAGCAGCAGAAAACAAAGTTCGATTGTAACGGTCCCCATGTGGGGTCACATCACATGATATCTGAAGAAGAGAATGTGTGTGATGAGTACGTTGAATCTGCAGGAGGGCTCTCATCTCAGCAGGCAGTCCTCCTTCCCACCCCACGGAGCTCAGGCTGAGCTGAGGCAGATACAGTTTTCCCTGCCTTGTCCAGTCCAAACCACCTCACCTCTTGGCAGGCTTGGGGTTGGTTCTGGAGGCAAATGGGGGCAGACAAAGCAAGTTGATTAAAAAAAACTGCCCCTCACTTCCTGAAACCCCAAGAGTCCCATGTATCCCTACCAACACCATCTCAGTGCCTAAAAATGGACACAGTGTAACATCCAGTTAAAAACCTGGAATGCTTTTAAACAGAATGGAACTTGTAAAGATTTCCTTGCCTCGTGATCAAAAGGGCAGTTTTCTTCACCTAAACTCCTATTCATTTCTATCTTCCCCGTGTGACAAACAGTAACTACACAGATCTGTAGCATGAAGGATGGATTACAGTGTTTGGCCAATTTTTTTTTTTTTTTTAAATCACATTGTATGTTCTTTTTGATCGATTAGAATAACCAGGAAAACAAAATGCTGGAGTTTCTCTATAAATGACATTTTTATATCTTCTTTATTGGTCATTAAAACACAGTAGGAAATTAAACTACCCTGAAATGTTGCCGTGCAATTATTTTACTGAAGATCTTCCAATTTCTGTGCTCATTCCTCCCATAGACCCTCATTGTGTTCTCCTTTGACTCAGTCATAATGCTCACAGAATTTTCTAAAGGGCTTTCTTTCCAATCTTAAGGCTCACAATGACACATGCAAGTAAGACATATTCCAAGTAGCCCCAGGAATGAGCACTGCTCATTTACAGTGACATTTGAAGGAGAAAAGAACAGAAAATTTGAGAGGCCCTTGTACAGGAATCCCTAGGAGGCACACATGGTTATGTTTTTGGCTCCGAACTGAAAGGTTGCCAGTTCAAACTCACCCAGAATTGCCTTGGAAGGAAGACCTGGTGATTGCTTACAAAAGGTCATAGCCATGAAACTCTATGAAGTGCAGGTCTACCCTGCAACATGGGGGTCACATGAGTTGGAGTCAACTCAATGGCAAGTATTTTTTTGTTGATGTGTACAATACTTGGCAAAGGCCACACCCTGAGGACTGAAGTTCTTGGTGATGTTTCCTGGACTTAGGACAGAGCACAGGACAGTACTGGTCAGCAAAGCTTTCATTTGGTGCTTCCCTGCTCTCCATTCCTCTTCTGAGTCTTGGCCACCTACCTCCTTCCATCCTCTCAGATATGGAGGAAGGCACAGTGCCTAGCACAGAGTGAGTGCTCAAGAAACATTGTGGCATAAGCAAATGACAACATCTGATGAACTCATTCAAATACAGGCTGTGGAAACTGGTGTGCTCACATCCCAGGTACATTTAAGGGCCTGATTTTTACACAGAGAAGCCAACAGCCAGTATCTCAAGGGCTGGGCTTGTACAGTTGACCTCCAATCAATCTTCCTCCTGTTTTCCTCTGACCAGCATCTGCAGAGCCAACGGCAGAGGCCCCAGAGGCAGAGGCAAGTCCGGGCTCAGCTCCCAGTCAAGTGAGTGTGCTGAAATCTGGCCAAGGCAGTTAAGCAGTCATGCTGCCATCAGCTCAGGATGCACACCTGGAAGGTGGCAGGAAAGGACATGAATGAGGGGGATCCTTTCACAGGCAGGTCCACACCATACTTGGAATCTCCAAGGTGAAAGGACTGTGTATCTTTACATGGTTCACTGCCCTGACCGGAGTTTTTCCTATGGTATGCAATCCTGACCTAGAGACCATCAAGCCCATGTCAACCAAGCTCCAGAGCAGCTGTTGTGCCAGGCTGAGTGTGGTCATTCAATGACTCTTCCAAATGTGGTGGCTAGACCTAGCAGTTCTGGCTGGCTACATAAAATGTGGCAGCTAGACCTAGTAGTCCCTGCTGGTTACATAAATCCATGCCAGCTATATGATGGGTAAACCAAAAACCAAACGATGCTGTGGCATCGACTCCAACTCATGGTGACCCATGTGTGCAGAATAGAACTGTAATCCATAGAATTTTCCAGGGCTGTGACCTGTTGGAAGTAGATCACTAGGCCTATATTCTAAGGTGTTTCTGGATGGATTCCAACCACCAACCTTTGGATTAGTAGCAGAGTGTTAACTGTTTGCACCACCTAGGGACTCCTGCGGGGAGATCCCTAGAGTCAATTCTGACTCATGGTAACCTCATGTGTTATGGAGTAGAACTCTTCCACTGGGGTTTTCTATGGAAGCAGATTGCCAAGTCTTTCTTCTGTGGCACTGATTGTGTTTTGGTTCTTTAGTGCTGCTCTAACAGAAAATACCACAAATGTATAGCTTTAACACACACAGATTTATTCTCTCACGGCTTTGGGGTCCAGAAGTCTGAGTTCAAAGTCCCAGCTATAGGAGTTGGGTGAAGACCCCTTGACCTCAGGCTTCATTCAGCTCTGCCTCTTGCTCCCAGCTCACTGAAGCTACCAGTGTCTCTTAACTCAAGCAGCTACTGGCTGTTGAAGCTTACAAACCCAAAGTTGACAAGTGAAATGGCATAGTCCCAAGATTATCAAGCAACACGGCAGGCTACTAGTTCAAGTTCAGGAACAATCTCAAGATCGGCAGACAACATGGCAGACTATTGAGATGAAGACTTGGCCAAATGCAGGGTTCAGATGTGGCCAAAAGCTAGAGATTTTCCTCAAACTTCTTAAATATTGGAAACAGACCGTATCCTTAAGGCTGCTCACAGTAGATTCCACTGTGGAGCTGGTTACTATTCTCATCATGGGAAATAACTACCTACATCCATCTGCCCAGCCACTCAAAACCAGGCTCAGTGAAGTTGACACATAACCTTACTTACCACAGATGGGTAGGTTTGAACCACCAAATTTTAGATTAGTAGTTGAATGCAAACTGTACTTGCCACCAAGGGAGCTTGGGGTGAGGGTGGAGATAAGGGTGCTTTATTTTTGACCAGTTTGGCTCTAGCCAAATCAAAGTTGTGATTTTGAGGAGATGTTTCCATGCAGGTAGAAATTAGCTAAGGCTACAATGTCCTGTGGCTCACTCAGATGTACTGAAAGATGAGTCACTTCCTACAACTTGTTTTATGTCCATGCTCCTGTTGGCTTTTACAGGACAGAACCAAATACTTACATAAGTCCTAACATCTGGAGAGCACTTATGATGGGCCAGGTACCATGATAAGCATTTTTACATGAATGATTTAATATAATCCTCATTTCACAAGATGGATATTTCAATTATTCAGAGTTCCTTGAGGTTAGTTACTTCGCTAGAGGCACATAAGAAGGAGAGAGTAGAGCCAGGATTTGAGCCCTAAGAGTCTGACTTTAGAGCCCCTGCTCCTAACCCCTCCACAACAGAGTCTCTCATGCCCTTTCCCTTTGGCCTGTTGCAATGACACTTGATGGTCATCAGCATGGAAGAGAAGAATAACTTCTGGGCCTATGTGTGCAACAATATGAATCTTCTCAGTGAACCCACGTTCCCCACAGCCCTTACTGTTGCTGAAATGTTAGCCAGGGAAAGATGTTGAACAATAAAACCAGCTGCCATTGAGTCAATTCTGACTCATAGAGACCCCACATGTGTCAGAGTCGAACTGTGCTCCACAGGATTTTCATGACTGTGACCTTTCAGAAAAGATCACCAAGTCTTTCTTCCAATCTCTGAGCAGGTTCAAATGATTACCCATTTGTACCACCAGGACTACCTAGTATGTTGGATAATAATCACCAATATTTAGCCAACATTCATCAAAATACATGCTTAGCTCATTGACTCCTTGCCATATTTCTGTAGGGTAGGTACAAGTGTTATCTTCATATCACTGAAGAGGAAACTGAGTCACCGAGAGCATAACTTGGCCAAGGTCACATCAGTTTCAAAACTCAAGCAGACTGCCTCTAAAATGTGTTTCCTAACTTCAGGAGTAATATTAATAAAAACAGATTTTCCAGGAGAAAGAGTTGAAAAGGCTGTGTATTGGTCAGGATAGACATAGTTATGCTGCTGTAACAAATGACCACAGATCTCAGTGGTTTCTTACCTTTTCATGTTATACATCCATCGTGAGTCAGCTGTGGTTGTACCTCTTAACCTCTTTACTCTGGGTCGTAGCCTGACAGAGCTGCCTCTGTCTGGAATATCACCAATCTCATGGTGGAGAGCAAAGACAGACATGGTGATGACAAGTGACACAGGCCACTTTCACCTATGAATCATGGACAAAAGCAAATCACATGGCCACTCCTGAGTTCAAGATGGTGGGAGTTATATAATTTATCAGCAGAGAAGGGCACCACAAGTCACATGACAAAGCTTGTCCCCGCAGAAATTTGTATAACCCTCTACTTGGAAGGGATAGCAAATATTTTAAACACAGACAATCTGGGTTTGGGTCTTGGTTCTGTCACTGAGTGGCTATGTGACCTGGGGCAAGTAACTTGCCCTCTCAGAGCCTCCATTCATTTCCAATCTATAATTTTTTTTTAATGCTAAGATCCTTTTCAGCTGTGTCTTTCAATCCAGGAAAAACCAAAAGGGGATATGAAGTCTGTTTCTAGAGCACTGACAACAGTCCTGGTGACACAATGGTTAAGCGCTTGGCTGATAATCAAAAGGTTGGCAGTTCAAACTCATCAGCAGCTCCCCAGGAGAAAAAAACCTGGCAATATGCTTCTGTAAGTATTATAGCTTAGGAAACCGTATGGAGCAGTTCTTCTCTGTCCTATAGGGTTGCTATGGGTAGGAATCAACTAGATGGTACAAAACAACACCAGAACATTGACAGGGTTGAATGAAACTTTCAGAAGGGTTATAACCAGTACCAGTTGCCATTGAGTTAATTCTGAATCATGGCAGCTCCATGGGTATCAGAGCAGAACGGTGCTCCACAGGGTTTTCAATGACTGTTTTTC